GAGAGAGAGAGAGAGAGAGAGAGAAAGAGATGAGAGAGAGAGAGAGACAGAGAGAGAGAGATGAGAGAGAGAGGTGAGAGAGAGAGAGAGTGCTAAAGCACCATGCTGTAACTGCCACGCAGGCTGCCTGTCGCCATGAGCACAGAGCATTCTTGCTCCTGGCTCACCGTGCTCCCCACGGCCATAGTGAGTGCTGTCCTGTTTGTGATGTCCTCTGCCCCACGGGAGGAAGCTGCATCAGATGAGACCAGGACTGAGCTGAGAACAAGCTGAGCTCTGCAAAAGATAGCTGGGGCATGTGACCTTCCTGTCACACAGAGGAGGAAGTGAGGGTCGGACTCCCCGGGGCAGTGGTTCACCAGAAGAGGTCACCCATGTGGGTGGAGTGGCATTTGCCCCCTGGGGTGGAGTGGCATTTGCCCCCATCCTTTTCCTCGTCTGGACTCCAGGGCCCTGCTCTAATTGTCTTCTGCCCATAGGAGGGTTTCCCTAATGATTTGAAAATTTCTCAGTACAAGGATTGGAAAGAACAAACCATTTATCAAGATAAATGGCATTTTGGGCAGGGCTCTGGTGTTCCCCATCTGATGGAGAATGTGGGTGCCCAAGGTCACATTTTGAACCTGATGTCACACTGAAGCATTAATCACACCTGGCCCAGTTTCCTGCAGCCCCACCCCAGAAGCCTCCACCAGCTGGCCAAGTGGCACCAGGCCAGCTAGGAAGGCACAGGCCAAGCAAGGGGCCCCAGCTGATGCCAGACCCAGTGTACAGCCTTAGTCACCTCCCATCTGCTGCCCATCCAGGAAGGCTCTGGAAAGCTCGCCTGCCCCAATCCCTGCCACTGCCCTTTGGAAATCTCTTTGCCAATTAGACTCCTGCTCCGGCTTGGGGCCAGGGCGCAGTGAACACAGATGCCTCACTTGCTCTTTTATCTCTTTCTCCCTTGTTCTGGAAGTCAAGGTACTGTCCCTCTCTGCCACGTACCACTGGGGACATTGGGCAAGTGACCTCAACCTCTGTGATCATAGCTTTTGCAGGAATGGGGCGAAGACAGTGAGACACCCTGGGTTTGAACAAGAATACCTGCAGACGGGGCAAAGGTGGCCTCTCACCCCACCCTCTTCCCTCACACAGCCCTCCCTGGTCCTTCTGCGAACCCCCTGGCCTGCCCTTGATCTGCTTATCCACCCCTCAGGGAGCAGACAACTCCTCAGATGGGCTTCCCTGCTGCCCCAAGACTCCTTACAATACACAACAGCCCCACAGCCCCCAGAGCAAGCAGGTACCTTGCAAACACTCCAGATAGGACACAGGCTTAGTCCTGATCTCAACCCAGGGAGGTGGCACCTGGTTTACAGACATGGAAACCCTGGCCACCCAGCAGTTGACTAACAAATCACTTACCTGAGGTCATCCGGCCAAGGATTTGGTAAACCCAGGGAGCGTCCCTGACTGCCAGGCTGGACTGCCCCCTTTCCCAGAAGCCCTATCACTTCCCCCACCCTACCAAGAACCATTCTCCCACCTGTCACCAACACCTGCCTTCCCCGGAGCATACCGGATAGGACAGGCAGCCATAGGGGGCTCAGTTTCCCAAATGCACAGATCCCAGTGCAGACCATCCCCTCTTCCCGGAAAGGCACAGCTGGGAGTCCGGGGACAGAATTGTGCCAGACTTGTGCCATCTGGCATTTCTGGGCTCTCCTTGGGATGTCACCTGCCCCCTCCGCCATCCCTCCTCAGACACACACTCGCTGCCACCCATGTGTGGTTTCCTCAAATATTCAGAACCGCTTCCCACAGCCTGAGCAGCCTCTCAAGTCAGCCAGCACCCTCCAGCAGTGTGGACTCACTGGGCTCAGGAAGGGAGGCTGACAGCCTCTGAATTCCATGTCTTCCGGCTCCTGTGGTCAGCACAGCTTCACACAGACAGTTCTCTGCACGGGAGAGGACTTAACCAAGAAATAGAAACCCAAGGGTTTTGGCATTTATTCAGTAGGGAGGAGCCTAGGAGCAGGAAGTAGGTCTGGTTATATGGGGGCAGGGAGATGGGGCAGGGGCAGGCTCTGGCACAGAGACAGCTGCCTCCTCCCACCCCAGTGACCATTGCTGCCTATTCCTCCTGTGCCCCACCCCGAGACCTAATATATGATTCGTACACTTCCAAAGAGCCTGGCTGTACTTACAAGTTTCCCAGACATCACCCTTCACAAGTGTGTGACTATGTGTCCTGAGCTGGCTTGATCAGTGTCCAGAAAGTAGTGGGCCTGCTCGGAAGGGTCTTTACTCCTGGCCATTGCTTGTATACACGGGGTGGTGCTGGTGGGAAGGCCTGCTTCCACCCATTTTTATTCCGAGAGAAACTGAGGCTCAGAGCACCTAAGGGATAAGGCCAAGACCACACAGCTAACCAGCAGTCGCCTAAGTTATGTGAGGATACTTAGACCCTCACAAGGCATTTCTGCCGTCTAAAATTCCATTCCTTCTATAAAAACATAATCATATAGGAGAAATGTTTTGCAGATAGAAAATGTTCTAGTGCAGATTTTGTTTCAAGAGTACAGGGGTACTCTGGGAAAGTCTGACCCTCCTCTCTGAGTTTGTCTTTCTTCTCTCCCCCCTTCTTCCTGGGCTGTAGACTGTACTTGGCCAGCTGACACCGCAGTCGGGAGATCCTGTCTTTCATTGGCTTCAGCCCCTTGTTCAAGGAAATGCTTGATGCACACAGACTTGCAGGGTGGGTGGGGAGGGAGGTGCAGAAGGGAGTGGAGAAGGAAGTGCTGTTTGTGAGTTGCCCTGACAGCAGCCAGGTCCCTGAGGTGAGCAGGTCCAGAGGCCAAGCCTGGGAAGACCAGTGCCAGGCAAGCAGGTGAAGCGGCCCCTGGGCCATGCGTCTCTGCTCCCCTCTCCCTTCTCACATCCTGCCTAGAAGTGGCCGAATCTGCAGAGCCCAATTCCTTTGACTTGTACACGGCCCCCTCCTTTCCCACTATGTTCTTGGGTCAACCAGAACTTGTCTTGTTACAGGGTAGCCCAGAGTGGACTGGGCCGCCTGTCTGTAGGGCCTCACCCGCACGCTCACAGTTCAGTTATACTGCAGGTACACACAAAAGGGTCAATAAGGGTTTATTTATAAAAGGGGAAAAGAATAGGAAACAACCCAGGGAAAGAGAGTGGGATACAAAGTAACTGGTATACCTTATGGCTAGGAGAGCTGCTTCCCCAGCGAGAGAGAGCGAGAGAGAGCACGGAGGTGCAATGGCGCCCTATGTATCCCCGAAATGTCTCAGAATTCCTGCTAGCTCCGCCCTAGGGTCATCCTCCTTGGGAGTTGTAGTTTCCAATCACTGGAGTAGGGTGTAGGGTCCAGAAAGCTGGAGTAGGGGGTGGAGTCCATAAGATTGCAGAGTTCCTTTAGGACAGCCTTCCCCTTAACAGTCTGACTGACAGGGTAGAAGGCAGGGTTGGAACAACAGGGGTATTTGCCAGTGCCCCCTCTCCCTGTAAGCTTCTCCCCAGCGCTGCTCCCCCTTCTTCCTTCCTTCCCTACTCTGTGCTTTCAGGAAGCAAATTCCCTTCATGTTCACTGCAACTATTTTCAGGAAAGGAACCAGTATTTACTGATACCAGCAGCTGACTAACAATCTAAGAGTCTAAGATGTGCCCAGGGCCATGCAGATCCAGAATAAACACCAGGGCAGCTTCACTCCTGGGTCTGTGGGCTTCTCCCACCTGGCAGCCCCTCCTTCTATTTTGTGGGAGTCCTCTGGTGAAAGTTAAGCGATGACCCCCCGCTGCTGTCCAGATGAGCTGCCACAACACACCTCATCCCAGGGCTGGTGATCTATTGTTGCTTAAAATTATTCTAACACTTAGTGGCTTAAAACATTAACAACATGTTATCTGGATCACAAGTCTCAACCTAGGCAGAGCTCCTCTCTGCATCACTGTATCAGGGTGCTGGCTCAGAGGCGGAGTGGGGTAACACCCGAGCTCCACTCACCAACAGCTGAGGGCTTCGCTGCAGACTGAAGACCTGTGCACAGACTTTGTGCAAGGCCTGGCCCCAAGGTGGCTGGTCCCAAGAGTAAGAAGCTGAGCCCTCAGGAGCTGGCTGGGAGTCTTGGGGAGTCTTATGCCTGTGATAACCTCACCTAGCCCCATTTCTACCACACTCTGTCCAGGTGCCCCTAAAGCTCTACTCAAGTTCAAGGGTGGGAAGAGATCTCATGTCCTCATGGGGAGTGCCAAGATTCTGGAAAAGCATGCAGGGCCACAAATATTTGAAAATATATTATCAGTAACAATGCAGTGACTGCCCCTCAATAAGCTCGTGCTGGGGCCCCTCCGTGGCCCTGGAGTACAGAAGGCTTTGAGCACAATCCCTGTCTTCAGGAGCTCACATTTCAGAGTAAGATGGGCATAGAGGAGGCAGTGCACAGAGATCTTTTAAATCAATCCACAGTTTTGGCAATGTGGTAGCACCATTCTGGGTGTTTTGCATTTCATTTAATCTCGATTTGCTTTATTTACTAGGCCCAATTAATTATGCCTGTTCTACCTAGGAAGACATGAAAGCACAGAGAGGTGAAGCAACTAGGAAGTCAGAGCTGAGCACAGCCCCTGCAGTGTGGCAATGGAGTCTGTGCTGCTCACCATTGCGCCACCCAGTGTGGCTTTCTCTGCATCACGCCAAGTGCATTGTCCACCTGACTAATGTTGTGCCGGGGTGAGCACACTTCCCAGTAAGGCCAACAAACAAGCCAGCAGAGCACAGTGCACTCTGTCCTGCAAACAGCTGCAGCCCACTATTTTGTAACAAGCAGAAGCTACAGGAAGCCTCTAGGTCCGGTACTAATATGCACCCCCACCCCCTGCATCGGGCACATTTCCTGGGCACATTTCCTGTTTTTCCCTGTACCTGCCGACCCTATATGTACTCATGGGCAGTCCTAATAAACAGACTTCATACTTCAGACCCCAGGCTCCTGCTTTGGTTTCTTTTGTGTGTCTGAGTCTCCTACGTTCGGGCTGCGAGCGAATGTAGTGGTCAGCGCACCCTCGGTGGGTTTGCAACAACCCAGCTTTACTCATCACCAGTTGCAGGAAACATGACCTTGGTGGCACTGATGCCCCAAAGTGAGGGCTCTGCCTTGCCATGTGGGTCACCTCTGGGGCAGGCAGGGATCGAACTCATGCTGAAGTGGCCTTAGCTTCTCAGTGCTGTGTTTTAACCCGCTGCGCCACCGGGGAGGGCCTGGTTTCATTTTAATCAATGTTCTACGTGCCTGGAGAGTGGGAAACTCAGAGAGGTAGGTTCAGCTTTGGATCCTGTCAACACCCTCTCATCCAGGGCCAATCACAGACAGGAGGCAGGGAATGAGGTGGGGTCTGCTCTGCTGAACAGAAAGGAACAGTGAACACATTCTCTTTGAACTCCTTAAAAGGATGAAATGTGAAATGCATTGTTTTTTTTTTTTAAGATTTATTTATTTATTCATTTATGCATACAGACTGGGGTACAGGCCAGAGGGGCAGGGGCAGTGAAAGGCTTCACCAGAGACAGAGTGGGGAGCAGAACAGGCAGATCAACGAAGCACACTGCTGAGGGGAGCAGCGGGCAGTTCAGGAGAGGTCTGCCAGGTCAGGTCAGGTCTGCTGAGCCATGTGGGCCACCCCCGGGGCAGGGATCGAACTCATGTGGAAGTGGCTTTAGCTTCTTAGTGCTGTGCTTTAACCCGCTGCACCACCAGGGAGGGCCGCAATGGTATTTCTAGAGTAGAAAGAACATCAGCTTCCAGAAGACCCCAGAAGTCAATGCCAGAGCACATATTTTGGGGCTCAGCCAGATTTGGCTTCAAACACAAGCTTCTTTACTTGCTGGTTGGGTGAACCTGAGCAGGTTACTTCACCTCAGTGACTCCTAGTTTTTTCATGTGTATGTGAGACAGACCTGTACTTGTCTCACATATTTGCCTGAAATGAAATGAGAGAGAACATGAGTGAAACACTTGCATGGCCTTGCCATTGTAACCACTTACTTAGTAAGTGATGTTTTCTCCCTTTGCCTTGGCCTCCTGGGGTGAGCCCACAGCTAGACCTTAAACCCAAGGAATCTGACCAATTCATCAGGGTGGGGTTTTCACTTCCCTTGTTTGTAGATACTCTACCTCTGGTAATGTAATCTAAGATTATCTTATTGGTTTTGGCAGCCATACCATTCAGCAATTCTCTGAAACCCAACAGTTCTTTCTATGTGGAGTGGATGACCCTCAGCCCCTGCCAGTCGCTATCACAGATACAGACAATGGTGGTGATGGTCCAGAAATGTAACAACTCTCAGGCCACTTCCCCCACCACTCAGTCCTTTCTTTCTGCACTACTGAAGTGGAAAATTTCAGGTTGACCAGTTGATGAGCTGAAGTTGGTAGATAGCCTGCAGACTGAAAGTTTTAGTCTATGGATTTATTAATCATCTTGTTACGGAAATGGGTTGAGATGAGAGTTTCTGCTATGGGGGAAGTTTGAAGTATATTTTATATTCTGTACTTGTGGACTTTTTAAATTTTAGGACACAAATCTGTGCTGGGGGCTGGATGCTAGAGTGCCAGGCTGTGATTAGTCCTGACTAATCTCTTAGTAAGTAAAAATTTCTTAGAGCTTACGTCAGCCTTTACTGGCCATGGGTGGGCATTAAGGCCTTATTTCAGTAACAATCATCTGGTTCCCTTGTAACTCCTCAGTTCTGCTCTCCTTTCAAAACTTCCCATTTCTGTGGGCATGACTAGGAACGCCCTATAGCCATAAACCTTTTTTTTTAAATATAAAGGTAAGGCACCTTTAAATTAGGGTGGGGGCGGGAGTTGGAAAACTGCATCCATATCAGATCTAGAGTCACAGGCTGCCTGGATGCCAGGAACATCAA